TGTTGCTTCTGACTTTTAAGAAACAGACACTTAAAGCGACACTAAAGGTTTTTTGTAAAATAAAAAAACATGTCTAAACTTACCTGTGGTGTCACACAGAGCAGCCTGGATCCTCCTCTTATCAGGTCCCCCGCAAGCTCTCCTGGCTCCTACTACTTTCTGTCCGGTGCCCCCAGTGACTTTTAAGAAACAGACACTTAAAGTGATACTAAATGTGCATTTTTTTTTTTTTGTAAAATAAAAAACATGTCTATACTTACCAGTGCTGTCACACAGAGCAGCCTGGATCCTCCTCTTCTCGGGACCGACGCAGGCTCTCCTGGCTCCTCCTTTCTGTCCTGTGCCCCCATAGCAAGCAGCTTGCTATGGGGCACCCGCTGCTCCATGTGTCCATTCACACATGGAGCCGTGACTTTGCCCACCCCCTCTCTCCCCATTGGCTGACTGGCTGTGATTGACAGCAGCGGGAGCCAATGGCTCCTGCTTGCTGTCTCAGCAATGAGGAGGAATTGACCCGGGACATCCGAGTCTGTTGTACACATCGCTGGATCGCTCAGGTAAGTATTAAGGGAGCTAGGCGCACTGCTGCACACATAGAATGCATGAAGGTAAAAAACCTTGAGCTTTTACAACCACTTTAACAGACCATGGAGTCCAGCGATATCTTCTACAGAGCCAATTCTTTGCTGGGCTTCAGCTCTACAGCGGCATCACCTTAGGTATGGGAGCTGGCTTTGACTTCCTGAAATCTCAAAGCTGGTTCTCCACTGCACATGTGCAAGGCATGACAGGACTATAAGACTGGTCCTGCAGTCTCCTGGGACCTGTGCCCTGTCCCAGGAGGCTGCAGGCATGAAGTAGGGGGCCAAGCTGATTTAAAGTGGTTCTAAAAGCAGAGGGTTATTTACATTATTGCATTCCATGCATTAACGTAAAAAAACCTTCTGGGCACAGCCCCCCCTTTATACTTACCTGGGCCTCATCTCGATCCAGTTATGTGCAAAAGAGTGAAGGCTGTCCCAGGTCTCTCTCTCCTCATTGGCTCACAGAGCAACAGGAGCCATTGACTCTTTCTGCTGTCAATCACAGCCAGTGAGCCAATGAGAAAAGAGCAGAGGGCGGAGCCAAGCCACACTCTGTGTGTGAATGGACAATGTCTGTGTTCACAGGAGCACAGCTTGGGAGCTAGCCTGCTCGAATGCCCCCAAGCAACGTTCAGCAGGAGAAAGGAGCAAAGACCACTGGCAGGGGACCCAAAAAGAAAAGGATCGGGTCTGCTCTGTGCAAAACCATTGCACAGAGCAGGTAATTATAACATGTTTATTATTTTGTTTTTTTTTTTTAAATAAAACCTTTTAGAAGCACTTTAAAGCAGTATTAAACCCAAAAGTAAACATTTATATGTTGTAGTTTACTAATTCATAGATATAATGGCTGCATTAGTTTCCTTTTTTGGCTTTCTTTCTTCTATTTTTATCTAGTCATCTGACAAGTAAGTCTTTTGCTTTTCAACAGAAAAGCTCTCTTGCAGTTACAGGGATGAGACAGCCCATTTAACACAAGCAGGGGTGCTTAAAACGATCAGCTTGTATTTATTTATGTCAAACCTTTATCCAAAAAGGAAAAGACTGTTTGCTGTAACTGCTTATAAATTATTGTCTGGAGTTCAGCTTCAGTTTGTTACTGTATTTAAATCTGCTAGTACTTCTAACACTCACCTCCCTCCAGGCTAACAATCCTGCTTTCCAATTCTGCTCTCGGTGCTCCTTCATCTACAGTGGTGTCTGCATAATACAGAATGTGTGTTTCTGGCCAGATCACTAGGAGAAAGCAGAGGGAAAAATTATTTTGCAATATATTACATTTTTGGTTTCGGATTTATAACCGCTTTAATTCCCACCTAGGTAATAAAACCTAGTAATAATAATTCAGTGAGCACAATATTTTTAGTTAGGTTTCAGAAAGAAGGGGAAAATACAACACTATGGCTCCACCATCTTTTATGACCCGTCTTCTGTGCCTATGATAAAGCTTAACAAATATGAATGTTTGCACATACTATTTAGAATGCCCATGTAGACCACAGTAAATTAGCCATTTATATAGCAATTTTAACAAATGGCTCATCAAAGACAGCACTATGAATATAGCAAAGCCACATTGTTATATGGTGTCTTTATGTATCAAACCATAATTGTGTACAGCACAAGTATATCTTACTGAAACCAACATTTTTTAAACTTTTGGATTGAGTAGGCAAGGGTTAGAACCACTGCCAGGTTTTGTTGCTCTCTGTGTTTCCTCTGGGTAAATTCACTCTATCTGTCCTGGTGACCATTGGCAGAAAGTGGTGGGAAATCCAGATTTTTGCAGTTGTCATCAGAGCAGCAGGTAAGGGTCAGTTATTCATTGGGAATTTCTGGTGACAACTGTCTACGAGGGATTTTCCCCCCTTTGTTGAGATCCTCCCTCGTTTCCTGTTGCATCTCCAGAACAGAAAGTAAAGGAAAATTTTCCCAGTGGGACACAGGCCACAAAAAAGGTGTATTAACCCATTCTTATGCTTTTCAAAACACAAACATTTTTGGCTCTACTTGCATTTAGACATCTTCTTAACGTGAATAATATTTTTGTATGATGCCAAGTTAGCAAATATTTAATAATGGCTTGTTTGCTTATATGTATGGCCTTTGAAAAACCTTCATATTGTTTGTTTGCCAAAATGTGGGTAGCATTTTCTGTAGTCTTTGTGTTCTGTTTGCTGTGTCCTGTGTGTGCACTGTGTCACCCCTAGTTTTTGTATGTTTTGTACTGTGTATGCTATGTGGACTCTGAGCTCTACTATGTGCTCAGAGCTGTGTACTCTCTGTTGGCTGTTCTCTGTGTAATTGTTGTGTGCTGTGTATGCTGTTTGTGTTCTACAATGTGTCCTGTCTTTCTTGCTGGTGCGTTGTGTTTTCGCTGTGTGTTCTGAACTGCATGTCGTGTATTCTGTGTGCACTTTGTGCTTTTTGTGCTGTAAGATATTTATTGCTATGTTGCCTACACTTTGTGTATTTGCTCTGTGATATCAACTGCATGCTATATATGCTCTGTGCACTCTGGGGTTGATTTACAAATAGACTGTACACTTTGCAAAGTGCATTTGCACTCTGCAAGCGCAGTTGTGCCAAAGCTTAGTGAATGAGGTAAAGCTTCACTTTGCAAAGAATACCCAATCACATGCGAGGAAAATAAAAGAAAAGCATTTTTGTTTGCAAATGATTGGATGATGTAAGTCAGTAAAGCTTCTGCTCATATACTAAGCTCTGGAGCAACTGCTGTTGCAGAGTGCAACTGCACTTTGCAAAGTGTGCGGTCTCTTTTAATAAAAAGGAAGTAAATGCTACATGAATCATCTGCCCTTATTCAAGATAGCCACAGCCAGAATTGCTAGGGGGTGTTTTTCAAAGTGATTTCTCAGCAAAATAAAACATAGATGGATGGCTGAGTTTATTTTGAATATTAAAAATAAATTAAATTAATTCAAATGTATTAAAAGCATTTTTGGTTTGCTGTGCTCAAATGCAGTGTAGTTCCACTTTAAGCTGTTTACTGTTTATGTTATCTGTGCTCTGTGTATTTGTTGTGTGCTCTGAACTGTTTGCTGAGTATTTTGTGTGTGTTTTGTGCTTCTGTGCTCTAAGCTATTTACTGTGTTGTGTTGCATGCGCTTAGTGTATATGCTGTGTGCTGTGTATGTTGTGTGCACTCTGTTCTATGTGTGCCCTAAGCTGTTTACTGTTGATGTTGTCTGTGCTCTGTGTGTATTCTGTGTATGTTGTGTGCACTCTGTTCTGTGTGCCCTAAGCTGTTGATGTTGCCTGTGCTCAATGTGTATTCTGCGTATGTTGTGTGCACTGTGTTCTGTGTGCCCTAAGCTGTTGATGTTGCCTGTGCTCAATGTGTATTCTGCGTATGTTGTGTGCACTCTGTTCTGTGTGCCCTAAGCTGTTGATGTTGCCTGTGCTCAATGTGTATTCTGTGTATGTTGTGTGCACTCTGTTCTGTGTGTGCCCTAAGCTGTTGATGTTGCCGAGCACTGGTGTGTATTCTGTGTGTGCCCTAAGCTGTTGATGTTGCCTGTGCTCGGTGTGTATTCTGTGTGTGTTGTGTGCACTCTGTTCTGTGTGTGCCCTAAGCTGTTGATGTTGCCTGTGCTCGGTGTGTATTCTGTGTGTGTTGTGTGCACTCTGTTCTGTGTGTGCCCTAAGCTGTTGATGTTGCCTGTGCTCGGTGTGTATTCTGTGTGTGTTGTGTGCACTCTGTTCTGTGTGTGCCCTAAGCTGTTGATGTTGCCTGTGCTCGCTGTGTATTCTGTGTGTGCCCTAAGCTGTTGATGTTGCCTGTGCTCGGTGTGTATTCTGTGTGTGCCCTAAGCTGTTGATGTTGCCTGTGCTCGGTGTGTATTCTGTGTGTGCCTTAAGTTGTTGATGTTGCTTGTGCTCGGTGTGTATTCTGTGTGTGCCCTAAGTTGTTGATGTTGCCTGTGCTCGGTGTGTATTCTGTGTGCTGTGAACTGTGTGCAGTAGAAGCCCCTCAAAGACAAAGCGACACATCACTGATTTGGACAGTGAGAGAGAGAATACATAAGATCATGTGAGTTACTGTAATGTCATTACAACAAAAAAGGTTGAAAATGGGTTAAAAGGTTGAAGCCAAGATGTTCTCAAACAACCACTGACTCGCTCAGTCTCCCTTTGAAAAGCAATTTTTTTTCCCTAAATGTTGTTTTAAGCTGTGAAATGTGTGTGGACAGTCCCTGGAAGGATGCACAAAAAACAAACCAATCCAATGTTTTGACAAGTGTGTTACCACAGAGTTTTATATTTTCCTTGCTTTCATGTCTTTACTTGTGACTGTGAGGCTTTTATGGGGACAACATGGGAGCAGCTCTGTCTGTTTGCATTATGATGCAGTACAGTGATCTCCACTAACTCCTATAGACACTGTCTCTGCAGATGGCCAAGTCTTCACATGGGGGAAAGGAGCCAGAGGACGACTAGGACGCAGAGACGAGGGGATTGGGGTACCTAAAATGGTTCAACTGGAGGAGAGCCACCCCTATACAGTAACTTCAGTGGCATGTTGCCATGGTAACACTCTCCTAGCGGTAAAGCGTAAGTATGCCACAAGTATGCATGTGAATATTAATATGTATGAGCTAGTTCCTTCGGGGACATTTCAGCTATGCCAGGTTTCCTGTCAATAATGCTGATTGCAATAAGCCGTGAAATCCATTATATATGTGCTCCTTCTATAAATCCTGTAATCATAATCCTATGCCATTATCTGCGGGAGGAACTGACAGTGAAGAGGATTGCTGGCCTGAGTCCAAGGGAGAATGTCAAAAACTATGTAAAGAATGGATGGGGTTTTACACTGACATCTCAGATATTTCTTCTCTTTCCTCTGGTAAATGCTTATACAGTACCCTTCAGTTTTTGTAACACTGGGAGAAATATGTACACTCAGATTTGCTTCTCAGACCAGACTCTCCCTTGCTGTGATTTATATTCCTTGTTTAATTGATGAAAGGTGCATTGATTCCCACAGGCCACATCTTTTTAGCACACATGTCAAAGATTTTCTACATTTTTAAGTGCTCTGTAATACAGAAACCAATTTTGGGTTCGCATTTTTCTCATGTACTCCTCTCTGTATCTAAAGATTGATGATCATTCTGTGGCTGTCTGGTAAAGTGCATCTTCTGTCTAGAAAAATACGCACATACTTTGCAGCCTTTTTTTTAGTTTAAAGGATGTTTACCTTTGGAACATGATACATGTTCCACCTGTATTTAGAGTGAAACATGTAACATGTTCCAGCTCCTGCCCACTCTCCTCTGATCCACACCTCTTTGAGAGCGGGTGCTGTCACTATTTAACAACAGTGCAACTGTGTGGGGCTTCATTTCTGTGAATGAATAAACTACAAGTACTGTCTGTCATCGCGGCAGATGGACTTGTAGTTTCAATGGGCTGCAGGGGCACTGATAAGTGCTCTCCACTGACATGTGCTTCTGCTTTCAAACAAAAAGCCCATACAGAGGTACAGGATGAAAGCCGGAGGACATGTCTGCAGTAGCCCACAGTGCACTTGTGATCTGATAATGTGGGCAATGCTTTCCAGGCTTCTGCAAGAAAAATAATAATTGCGCTTTTTTTTCTGCAAAAATATGTGCATTTATGAATTTTTCTGTAAAAGTGAACGTGACCTTTAAGCACTTTAAGATCAGGCCTGTTCTGATATTTTTTGTTTACATGTAAAAATCAGTATTTTTTTTGCTAGAATTTACTTAGAACCCCCAAACATACGTATGTATGCACAGGGGTGTCCCTAGGGTTGGTGTCATCCAGTGCAATAATACTTGGTCACACCCCCTCCGGCGATCCCCACAGAATGGATCGAATCTGTGGATTGAGCATAATGGATCGGAGTCTGATCTATTATGCTCCCCAATCCGCAGATTCGATCCATCCTGCGGGGATCGTCGGCATGCAACCTATATGGGGTGACACTGGACTGGCTCCACGAAAAGGTAAGTTGTAAAGAAAGCCGCTGATCCCCACAGGATAGATTGGATCTGAGGATTGGGGAGCATAATGGATCGGACTCCAATCCATTATACTAAATCCGCAGATCCGATCCATCCTACGGGGATCGTCGGCTTGCTTTACAACGTACCTTTTCGTGGAGTGGGTCCACAGTGCCACCCCGTGCGGTAGGTGTCACCTGGTGTGGTGCGCACCCCCCGCAACTGCCTCTGGACGCCACTGTGTATATGTGTGTGTGTGTGCATATATATATATATATTTTTTTTTTATAGTAGAGGCTAGAGAATAAAAGGGTGGTTGTTACAATTTGAATTTGAATGCACAAAAACAATATAATACCTAATTGTTTGGTAAAATATAAAAGATGATGTGTCACCAAGTAAATAGATACCTAACATCTCACACTTTAAAATTGCGCACGCTGGTGTAATGGCGCCAAATTACAGTACATAAAAATCTCCATAGGCGACACTTTAAAACCTTTGCATGTTACCATTTTAGAGTTTGCCTTTACGTGCAAGCATGGGGGGACGGGGGAGCTTTACATTTTTAGTTTTTAATTTTATTAAAATGTTTTATTTTTACACTGTACCTTTACTTTTTTTTTTTTTTTTTTTTTTTTTTTTTTTTTAGTGCTATCACAAGTAATGTAAATATCCCATGTGATAACAATAAGCAGTGACTCTTTACTCTTTTACTTAGACATCTGGGATCTGTTAGACACTGCATCACCCACAGAAAAAAACAATACATCAGCCCGGTATACCACTTTAAACCGGCGACATATACAGTTGCAAGAAAAAGTATGTGAACCCCTGGGGATTACGTGGAGTTTTGCATGAATTGGGCATAAAATGTGCTCTGAACGTCATCTAAGTCACAATAGAAGAACACAGTCTGCTGAACATAATACTACACAAACATTAGATGTTGCCATGGTTTAATTGCACATAACATGTAAACATTCACAGTGCAGGGAGGAAAAAGTATGTGAGGCCCTAGCTTAATGACTTCTCCCAGAGCTAATTGGAGTTAGGAGTGAGCCAACCTTGACTCCAATCAGTGTGATGATATTGGATGTGTTTTGCTGACAGCTGTCCTGCCCTTAAAAAACACACACCTGTTTTGGGTTTACTGGTTTCAAGAAGCACTGTCTGATGTGAACCATGCCTCGCAGAAAAGAGCTCTCAGAAGACCTACGATCAAGAATTGTTGACTTGCATAAAGCTGGAAAGGGTTACAAAAGTGTCTTACCATGGACACATGAACATCAAGGCTTTTGGAGATAGACTGTCTACAAATGGAGAAAGTTTAGCACTGTTCCTACTCTCCCTATCCTGTAAAAATGACTGCAAGAGCACAGCGCAGAATGCTGCATGAGGTAAAGAAGAATCCCAGAGTGTCAGCTAAAGACCTACAGAAATCTCTGGCACATGCTAACATTTTTGTTGACACATCTACAATAAGGAAAACATTAAACAAGAATGGAGTACATGGGAGGGCACCACGGAGGAAGACATTGCTGTCCAAAAAGAATATTGCAGCACGTTTGAAGTTTGCAAAAGAGCACCTGGATGTTCCACAGCACTACTGGCAAAATATACTGTGGACAGAGGAAACCAAGATTGAGTTGTTTGTAAAGAACACACAACACTATGTGTGGAGAAAAAAAGGCACAGCACACCAACATCAAAACCTCATCCCCACTGTAAAACATGGTGGAGGGAGCATCATGGTTTGGGGCTGCTTTGCTGCCTCAAGGCCTGGACGGATTGTTGTCATTGATGGGAAAATGAATTACAGAGTTTATCAAGACATTTTGCAGGAAAACGTACGACCATCTGTCTGCCAACTGAAGCTCCGCAGAGGATGGGTGATGCAACAGGACAATGACCCAAAGCATACAAGTAATTCAATAAAACAATGGCTGCAACAGCACAGAATACGCCTTCTGGAGTGGCCCAGTCCTGACCTCAACCCGATTGAAATGCTGTGGCATGACCTTAAGAGAGCGATTCACACCAGACATCCCAAGAATATTGCTACACTGAAACAGTTTTGTGAAGAGGAGTGGTCCAAAATGACTTCAGATCGTTGTGTAGGTCTGATCTGCAACTACAGGAAACGTTTGGTTGAGGTTATTGCTGCCAAAGGAGGGTCAACCAGTTATTAAGTCCAAAGGTTCACATACTTTTTCCTCCCTGCACTGTGAATGTTTACATGTTATGTGCAATTAAACCATGGCAACATCTAATGTTTGTGTAGTATTATGTTCAGCAGACTGTGTTCTTCTATTGTTGTGACTTAGATGACGTTCAGAGCACATTTTATGCCCAATTCATGTAAAACGCCACGTAATCCCAAGGGGTTCACATATTTTTTCTTGCAACTGTATGTACGTTAGCCGGTTTTAAAGTAGTTAAAGGAATTATGTTAAAAAAGATGAAGGTGCTCAGCTATAAGTTAACATTATGTACATAACTGTGTGTTTTTTTCTCAGTAGTATCTGTATAATAAGTGTATTATGACTCCGTAAAATAATGGAAACGGAGGGAGGAAGGGGGCAGGGAAGATTGTGCACAGTGTACACAAAAGTATGTTACCCATTGTATGAATTGGAAGTGAATACTTAGTTTCAAGTTGCACATTGTTTGATCATCACGTGCTTGGCTCTCATTGAGTTCACACAAATAAATGCATTATAAAGAACTGACTAAATTCAGTTCCTGCTCATGTTCAGTTGCCTTTTTCTTGTTTACTTTCATACACTCTATTTATAGTATTTTGCCAGTCATATAAAAATGGGAGCAAAAGAAAAATTGTTTTCATTCAAACCATTGACATTTAAGTCCTTTATAAGCTTTATTTTTTAATAGAAAATTATCACAATACAACACATTTTAATTAAACTTTCCATAAGATACAGTATATGCTGCTATATATAAGCAATGACTTAGGAATTCAGTATTGCAAATACAGTATTCAGATAATCAAACAATACCATATACTGTCATGAGAAACAGTAAGAATACCCACTGAAATTGTTGTCTTTTTCAACATAATTAAAAAGGCAAACATTCGATCTTCATTCAAACAGTGTCTACGAATAAAGGGAAAATTCTTGAACTAACAAGACATAAAATTCGCACAATTTATTTCTTATCATAATCTAAATTAATCAAAATGCAAATATGTCAAATGGAAAAAGTAAGTACGACCCTACATTTACCACCACTTCAAGTCCATGAATTAGAATCTGTGTTCCAGATTTAAATCTCCTTAGACAGTATGCAGGTAGAACCTGTCTTTTTTAAACTTGAGATATCTATGGTCTGGTGTTCTCTTTGTTATTGATGTGGGTGGTGGCATCATGCCAAGCTCTGTAAAACCCTCAGAAGAAGGTTGTGGATGCCTATGAGTCTGCCAAGAGACTTAAAAAGATTACCAAATAATTTGAAATCTGTCATTCCATATAGAAAAATCTATAAAAAAGCATAGAAGAGGACTATATTTCAAACAATTGCTAATTTCTCCAGGACTGCCCTGCCCTTCAAATTCAGCCAAGAGCTGGCCATTTGAAACTCAAAGA